ATTATCGACTCGTAATAATTAAATTAATAATATATTTAAATTTTTTTTTTACATATAATTTAACGAAATAAATATAATTACTACGTCATCATATCAAAACAAATTTATTTTTATTATTATTATTTTTTTTAATGAGACTTGTACTGTTTCTTAACATACACACTCACGTACTTTTATATATATATATATTTTCATTATTATCATTATTATTTTATCATCAAACTGTACTCTCTATAAAAAAAAAAAAGGGAAAATTGCAACATCAATATAATGTCGGAATCTGTTTCAAAATAATAATATTTCCTTCGTTTTTGTTTTTGTTATTTCACTAACATTAAGTTCTACCTTGAAAAAAAAAAAAAAATCACGATTTATATAACATAATTTTTTTTTTTGATATTAATACATAAATGCAACAGAATAATATTATGGTATAATTAAAAAAAAGGTCGTCACGGGGAAGAAAGGGGGTTGAAATGAGGGAATAATATTTGGTAAATAATAATAAAGAAAAACGGAACTCGTATTATTTTTCAATTAAAAAAAGGTACTAATTTTGTTTGCCGTAATTGTTTTTTTTTTCATAACTCGTTTTTTTCGGTGTTACGTTTTTAATAAGTAGTAATAATAATAATAATAAATAATCATTAGAGTAATTTTTACGAAATCGTTAACCGAACAAAAAAATTATTAATTAATTTAATAATAAATGAAATTAAAATAATAAAATGATGGTAGTAATTTTATTAGAATTTAAAAAAAAAAAATCTCAATTTTATTTTAAAAATAAATTTCAATTCAAAGAGTAAATACACACGGAAATCAATTACAATTAATTATTTATACTTAATTAACTATATAAATTATTAATTAATAATCAATTATTTAATTAATATTTAAACTTTTAATTTTTTATGTAAGTTATAATAATAATAATAATAATTGATTTTATTTTGCCTAAACTTTGATTGAATTGCAGCAAATCGATAATAAAATAAATTGTAATAACATTTGACCTTTTTTTTTAAATAAATAATAATAATAATGATAAATTTCTCTTTTCTTCCTATTGATAATAAAAACTTTTTTATATTCCATCATATTTATAACAATTTAATTAAAAAAAACCTGGTAAATAATTTTTTACTAGACATTTAATAAAAATTTAAAATTTATTTTTTTGAAATATTGTTGAATTGTTATTATCATTATTATTACTGATATTATCGTTAACTATAAAAAGTAAATAAAAATAATTTTTTATGAATGAAAATACGATTGTTTATATATATATATATTTATTAAAATTTTAATGAATTAAATTGTACGTACACACACGTACGTAAATTAGTACACTCGAGGTTAAATTTTATAAAATTATTGTCATTGTAATTATTATTATTATTCTTTGTTCTAATAATCAATATTTTCAATAGATTTTTTACTTATTTTGTTACGATTCCTTTTTGTTTTACGAGTCATTCATTGATATATTAATTGTCAGTTTTTATTTTATTTTATGATTTATGTATTAATCGTGATTAGTTATATGATTTCCTGTTATTCTCACAATAAATAATTTTTAATTTAATGAAAGGTACAAATAAAAGATACAAATACGAGTAAAAAAAAAAAAATTAAAATTTTTTCCTTTCAATTATTTTTTGTAGTTTAATATTATGAAATATATTCCCGTTTCCATTCTAACCCTCGAGGTATATAAAAATTCAATTGCGGTTAAAAAAATATTTTCTTAAACAATTTTTTTTCCCTTTTTGTTATATTTTGCAAAAAATTTAATTATCATCATTTAATTACTGACACGTAATTTAAACCGTGTTTAAAAAATTTATATTTTTTTTCAA